ACAAATATACATCCCTACCCTGTGTTGTAGGGGGAGCGTGTGTGTGTGTGTGTGTGTGTGTGTGTGTGTGTGTGTGTGTGTGTGTGTGTGTGTGTGTAGTTCAGGCAGGGCTTGGCAGGGTATGACATGCAGGCAATTAAAACTGTTCATTAATGCTTTGTTAGACAACACTCCAGCTAATCCCATCATATGGCAGGCAGTGATAAGAGCATTTGCTCCTCTCACTGCCTCTCTGTCTGTCAGTCTGCTGGGAGCAGATATGCTATCAGTAGCCTGTTGTAAAGGTGAACAGAGGGAAAACCATGAAGGCTCACTAATATTCTGATTCAGCTTTGGTCAGCTGGAGAAAAAGGGATCCTAGGTGAAGGAAAGGCTTGGCAGTGTACACTACATAGCCCTTAAATGTTAAGGTTCTGTGTAATTGCTGCTCCAAAATAATTCTTCCAAATTAAATAATGGATGATATAAAGTGTATTTTGTCTGTGCCTTTAAGAACAACACATAGAAGCGTTTTGAGATTTAACACTCCTGTCAGCAGGTCATTTATCTGTGCCCTCCAAAACCATTACATTAAATAAATCAGTTTTAGACATGATTAAAGTTTGTATTGGTTTAGGCACAAAACCAACTTGGTTAGATTTTTATGGAAAAATCATGGTTTGGGTTAAAAATCTGCTTCGTTAATACATTAATATGGCTTAAAATCACTATTTCGTTAAGGTTAGGGTACCTTCATGGTCATTGTTGCAATAACAACCACACGATTAAGGTTAGATAACAAGTATGGTCATGATTATGTAAAAAAACAAAAAACAAAACTGTTGACTGTTGGCTAGAAAACAGGAAACAAACAATGCTCACCCATGTTGAAGACCAATCCATGAAGTGCTTTAACCACAGTCAGTAAAATCTTTCAACACATATACGTAACTGTCTGGTAACCAGTGAAGAGATATTGCTAACCAGATATTGTTATTACTACACTTATTATTTTTTTATTATAAAATGATGTGTCAGTGTTTTCGACTGGCTGGGGTTTTCCTCCTCAAACTTCCATTAGTATGACTATCCAATATCATATGCTGTCTCCTATTGCGAATTCAATTGCATAACCTCACTGCATCTTTCACATGAAACAACCATGGAAAAATACAGCCTTGAGTAAATTTTTTCTGTCTTTAAAAAAAAGTATTTATACTTTTATTTGCCCCACCGTGCTGCGCATGTCGGTGCCCAGTGATTGTGATGCGATTGGAGAGTGTGCATGCTACTGGGAGCCTTGGCCAAGCTGGCGGGGGGGGGGCAGATTACCATTTCCACAGTGTGTGTGTGTGTGTGTGTGTGTGTGTGTGTTGTTGGGGCCCCGGAGCTGACTTCTGAGCTGCTTCTATACCTCTGCTAGACTAGAGCTGTCAGAGCTGCTCCGCTCATGTCTGTGTCATCACCACGACTAACACTTGCACTCCTGCCGCATAGTCAGATGAGCAGACACATACTTATGTATGTGTGCATATATATATACGCATACTCACGAGGACACGCTGACTCACTTGCACGCATGCACACAGACTCCAGACCATACAGTCATCACTAGTACAACTGAGGGTCTGACCAGGTATAAAATCACCCTCTCTCCTCCTATCAAGATTTCTCTCTCTCGCTCCCCCACACACACGCACACACACAATCACACACACACACACACGCACACACACACAGACACACAGACGTACAAACATACAGACACACCTTTCGCTATTCAATAACTGTCACCAGTGGTTTTCCATGTTTAGGCTATAAATTTTTAACTTTAAAAACAAAGAGATGCTGACATACAAACAGCAGAAAAACATGAGAGGCAAAGTTGCCATCTTTTTTTTTATCTCAATGGGACTTCCTGAGGTTCTCGCTGTTTGTTGTGCCACCAAAGAGTAATTTAAAATATCCCAGCTTGCACTTGTACTTGATAGCTAGGTTTACAGACTTACTAATCAGTTCATGTTATGTTCCCCTCATGAACCGAGGTGCCTTGCAGTGAAAGAGCCATACAGTGACTGGTGCCTGGCCAATATGTAGAACTGAGCCTTGCACCAGCACCAGTGCTCACCAGATATGTGGTCTGAGCAAGAACTGTGCCTCAATATGCTTTAGCATATTCAAGAATCCACATAATATCTGATGCTTCACACTGTGTCTAATGCAGTGTTTTGAGGGATGTTACTATCAGCACTACCCAATCTCTGCTGTGCTGAGCTTGTATTTGCTTGCAAGTAATGATGATGTCACAGCCCATATACCAATTATAAACTCTATACATATTCTGCATTCACATAATAATCTGTGCCATGTGATTAGGCTGACTGAAATGGAGCACAGCTTGTCAGTGCTAGTTCAGGCAGATAGCTGGAGTTCGCTGCTACTCTCACGTGACACTCAGTACTTGCTTCATTATACTGTGTATCCAATGCGCCCTTTGTATTGGACATGTACTTTAGCTGTCAGTACTCTGTTCAGTCTCTTGATTTGCCATGCTTCCTACTGCGTTGCTTAACTGAAAACTGTTGCAATCACACGATGCCAATGCTACTAGAACATGATACTTCTTTTCAGACAGCATTTACCCAGCTTTGCTTCAAACCCAGCATCTGCCTTTTGCATGTCTTTGTAATCTTCTCATACTTTCAATCCCCGCATAAAGGCATGACTGTCGGACACTCTGTTTTAGAAACTTAAAAAGAATTGTCGGGCACAGTCTTCTGCAGCTTTGTGGTTGGAGAGGGGATTTCAGATGCTGTTAGCACGTTGTTGGAAGCGTACAGGCGCCTTTAGTTTCCCTTTGGGAAATGGTATTATTGTCACTCCCCAATCACATATTCAAATCTCTTCCATTTAAGTTTTCTGAAGGGAATTGTTGCTGCAAATGGACACAAAACACTTAAGAGACTGCTGGATGTAAATGAGGACCAACTGCAGAAAACAGTGAGACAAATCAAATCTTAAAATAGTAAACTAATAGTACATAGAACAACATAGATGACATATATATTTGACACTCTGTAGGAGATCTGACCCTGATGTGTGTGGGAAAGATTAAAAAAAAATATATATATATATTTTTTTTCTTTTTTGTTTCATTTGTTTGAGGCACTCAGAGGCCTTGGGGGAAATTTTGTACCATCACTCCCTAATCTCTGCTAAATTGAGCTTGGTGTTTCCTTTTGGGGAGTGAATCTCAACTCTGCAAACAGTACATTCTACATTCACACCAAACACTCAGATCTGTCCTATAAGATTAGTCTGACTGCAACTCCTAATTAGAAAAAGAGACAAAAGTCTTACTAGACATACTGCGCAGTCCTTGAAATAAAGACACATTCTATACTTTTTTAATCTCTGAGCATGTTGTGATGATTTTGCAGTGATTTGGAATACAACAAACATAGGCTAACTGCTGCATAACAGGAGGGAGATGGATGGTACACTGGGACTGGGAGGGATTGGCTGTCAGCCAGAGCAGCTATAGTGTCTATGCTGGCGCAGCTCTCAGTGCAGGTGTCACAAGAATTCTGTTGTGGAATGAACCATTTTGTCCAAAACAAATCAGCTAAGTTTACTGAGAGCATCTCTTGCGGTGGTGAAGCTAACAGCGTATTTATTTTCTACTTACATAATGAATCGAGCATTAGCATAACGTAGAGTAGGTCAGTGTCACGCACAACCATCTCACTCAACAATGAATTAAGCATGTTTGAAGAGCATCGCCATACCTTTTAAGTCAGCACTTAGCTATTCAAAGAGTCACAACCATTTAACACATAAAATTCTGTTTTTACTTTTTACAATTAGATGGAATTAATGTAAAATCCTTTCTTGTATGTTTTAACATTGAATGCACAGAAACCCCCTACTCATCCATCAAAAGATCACATTAAACAGACATTATAATCTATAGGTCTTTATTTATTTTTGCAGATAACATATATTGCAATCATGCTTTTTCATATAACACCATCTAAAGACATTTATTATATTTTTTTTTTTTACATAGAATATTTTACATTAGGCCCATGAAACAGCTAGAAATATACAAAACAATATTCTCTGACTAGACATTTCTATTACATTATTATTATTATTATCATCTTTATTATTACTCTATTCTGTTATTGTAATTATAATTTTTACATTTGAGAGAGATATGTGCTTTAGTTTCTGAGATAATATTATTGCAGAAAACAGCAAATAATATCACATTTTTTTTGTTCAACATTTAGACAAAAGAAAAGAAAAACTCAGGTTGTACGGACATTCACAGATACATGTATTACACAGTCCAGTTTACAACATCATTCAAGAGAGAAAACTGCAGTATGGTAACTTTATACAAAATTCACGGAACCCTTTGTCATTGCACATTTTAATTCACATATCTTTAAAGAAAAAAAAAAACATAAATAAAAGAAAAGAAACGGGACTGATTCAACCTGATTCCTGTCGCATGTAGCTGCCACAGAAGCAAATTTTCTTAATCTTTCTTCATAGTAATACAGTGATATCTGTGGTCAGTCACAAAGTCAGCTTCTACAGTTATATTTTTATATTGCTGAACAAACTTGATATGTAATAATAGGTTTTCCTTTACCCTATGAAAAGGAGTAGTTTCAGTGGTGTTGGCCTATATAGCATGTGGCTATGTCCTGTTGTGTTAACAGTGCTTGTGCCAGCTTTGTCCTCTGACTGAGCCAAAGTTTCTCTCTCCGAGTCTGATATTGGAAATCTGCACTTGCCACAGGGTAGAAATGCGCTATGGCTTCTACTACAATGACTGAGTGAAGGCCATCACAGTTCATTTACACTGAAAACAATGTGATGCTAGCTGAATAGCACCCAGAGAAGAGGCAATTTGGATCAGCTTTTTCGAGTGTGCTCAGGTATGTTTATTTAATCTGATTCATGTGTTCATGTTTTGTTGCTGCTCGATATAGCATGTTGGATAACTAGGAGAGAGTGGCAGAAATTTGACAATAGTTGCATTTTTTTTTTTAAATATAGCATTAATTGTTTCAGTGTATAATGGTAGTATCTGAGAGAATTTGGTCACGTCCACCTTTGTTCCTGAGGAGTGGGTTACTAAACAGATATACAAGTAAACGGTTCCAGTTGGAATAGTGGTAGCTATCATAGAAATCCATCATACAGTCTCCAATGCAGCAGTCACTGCAACTTACTCATTCACAGTTTAACATTATGGATCTGAATTAGCATTGGCTTATTGCAACACAACACTTTCTTTCCACTTAACTGGTTGTTAGGAGAAGGAAAATCTACATTTTACAAATAATCCCCCGCAGCCAGAAATATTGTACACGCAGTGCAAACGTGGGATTTCTGTAATGGCTACACCTTTGTTGTTAAAGGTGGTAGTTTACAGATCCAAATTGTGCTTGTAGGCGGATGCTGTTTTTACTACCCTGATGCTCTATAGTGAGACAAAAGGGGGGGGGGGGGCTTGATTTAATCCAGATATAGTCAGCGGGTCAAATGGCTGCACCAAACTTTCAAACTTGAGTATGATTTTGGTCCTTCTCACTCTCACATATAGAAAACGACCTAAAAATGATCCTACAAAAAAGATTCAGACAACATACAAAGTTATTGTTCTTTAGAAAACAAAGAAACAATTATAACAGTCTCTTGCTATGTAATCCTATGTAAGTTATTTTTGCTGTGGTCACAGGTTTCAATCGAGTCAAAAGAAGTTGGACGCTTCAAATTCCATGCTTTACTTGTGCTTTTCAAAGGTAGCCCCAGACATGGGTGGTAAACATTTCAGGCGAACTGCAGGATCCTGCAAGGGAGTGATAGTCTGACTAAAATATATTTTACACATACAAGCAGATTTGGCCTTACCTGTTGCACATTCCCATATTGTCTTTGCCTTGAATTGGTCAATATTCAATTTTCATTTTACAAACTTTCAAATTGCATTTTTTTTCCTCTACTACACTGCATTCATTTTAATGTATTTATTTCATGTACAAGCAAAATGCATTTAACCAATATTTTTCTTTGTACAGTAATTGTAGTTTAGTAGATTAATTAATATCTTCAAAGTAGCACAATACCTACTATTGAATCAACGTGGGCCTCCAAATTTAAATTATATATTCAATATACAGTAATTTCCTAAGTCACGTTTCCTTTTCTATAATGACTAACTTTTTTGCATAATGAAATTCATAATATCACAACAACTTTGCTGGGTAGTTTGTTTTTCCTTTTAAGTTTTATAACTCTGTATTATACAAATAAACAAACAGAAAAACCCCTAAAAATAACTGTGTAATCAGGTTGGTCTCACGTGTCCCCAGGAGGTAGGTGAATAAAAGCAGACATGGAAGTCTGGTGGTCGTTCCCAACCTTGATTACGTTTCTTCTGTAACGGAGCGCCAGTCTGGCTGTCGAGACGGAGGCAGGCGGAGGTTTCTAGATGTAGGCTTCCTCATTAGCAGGGTTCTGGTTCTGGTTTTCTGTCTGCTGGTCCGGGCCGTTTTCCTGAGCCTTCATCAGTACCACAGGCTTGATCATCATCCGCAGACGCTGAGGGGGAAAAATACAGAGGGGAGAAGTAACACTACTGATACCACACAGCTGAAAATGAAATTACAATGAGACACTGTCATATACCATGAGTGGGGATGAAACAGCTGCAAAGTTTGTGATCAAACCCATAAGCTGAAACAAAACACACCAGCTACACAGCTGTGAGCTGGATGAATGCGTAGCCTCAGGCTCTGAAGAGTGTAAACATCCTTCTACAAGATACAAAGACATTTATAGACTTCCCCACATGTGATACACGGATATGGCTGAGAAAGGAAAATAAAGGCCATTATTTATGACATTAACAAATGTTTCATGGGCCAAAGTTCCTGAGCCCGCACATCTAAATCTGAACATTTCAAACTTGTTGTTCTCAACTACGGATAGCTTTGGACCCGGGCTCCTTTGGCGTCGTAGGCATTTACATGGAGTGTTTGTGAAACTAAGTGTCAGCCTGGGTGCAGAGCACTAATCAGCCGGCTGATTGCTACAATTAGACAATCAGCCATCAGATGGTACTGCAGGATGTGACACCTGCACATCGCCTCTCACAGCCTCTGCTGCACTGTCTGCAATTATGGCCCATTTATTCTGTCAGTGGTGGCTATGAAGCTATATCTGTCACCAGGAGCCATATAGATGTAAGGTTATTATTCTACGCATTGTGGATGACTGCAAATCAAAAAGCTCTTAATGTAAATGGCATGCCGGAAAAGGTATTATCTGACATTGATTAGGATCATCAGATCAATAAGAAAATGCAGTGCACCCTTCTGCTGCATACAAATGAACGTAATTCACTGAGAACTCTGGTTGTTATAGCAAAAAGGCATCTAAAATTGTTTAAGAGAACTAATTAGAAACTCTATTTTACTAATCCTTTTATCACTGCTCTACTCTTCATGGCAATTTGTCCCGTCTTTACCCAGCATGCCTGTTTGCTCATTACAAAACCATTGAATCACAGTGCCTCAGTGCAGTTTTAATGCACAGAACAAGATTACATTGAGAGAAGTGGATGCATTTTCACATCCAGTGTGAAGTGTAAATTACATCTCAGGTACTACTTCAATCGCCAGCCATATGTCAATGTTGTAAATGTAAGTGAAGATGATATAAATTCCAGATCAGTATATTTTGGTAAACATATTTGAGACTGTTGAATCTACACGGTGACCTTAAATGTTCATTTAAGCTTCCCATCGTAGTTAAAACTGATCTTTTCTATAAAATCCTCAGGGCTTGTGTATCACATTTATATTACATTATCCTCACACCACATCAGCACCCTTTTAATACACCACTGTGCTCCTGTGTTGGATTGGTCTGCCATCCAGTATGTAATAATATTTCTGAGCAAAAAAAAAAAAAAAAATCTTGCATACCAAGTAATCCACTTGAAACTCTTAACACAGAGCCTGCCTCGCTGCCGACTGCAGATTAAAATTCAAACTAGCTAATAGATGTGTGAAATGCTCAGAGCTGGGTACAGTGATGCATATATTCTGTGAAATCTGTGGCTATATATCCGCAATACACCAACCGAGTGTAATAATATTTTCTCTGTGTGAATCTATACATATTATCTGTATGTTTTCTACTTGTTATAAGCATTTACCTACCCTATTTGCTGTCTTTATAAGGAAAACAACTCAATTCTGTGCAGTGTAGAGCAAGTATTCATTGCTTATGATGTCTAATGACCACTGCATCAACTGTTAGACAGAATCCACATGGATCTTACCTCTTTGTATGTGCCTTTGAGTGTGAGGAACATGTAGCCCATGTAGCCAGGGATGAGCAACATGGAGGAAAGGGCCATGCACCAGCCGACCCCCTGACCCCAGGCTGGGAACACATAGTCACCCATGGTGAGGGGAACCATCTGCACTGCACTAAACAAGAAGACTCCCTGTACGAGAAAAGGACAGGATACATAGATCTCAGCAGTCATCATCATCATCATCATCATCATCATCATCAATGCATGTACATGCAGCCCTTGTTTTGACATTTTGGTTTCCAAATTCTGAGCTCCAGAGAAATGAAGAAATGCTACAATAACACTTCAGATTTTAGTTTTAAATCATCTTTGGCAACAGCAGGCAATCTTTTTCCACTGCTTTAGGTTGTGTGCACTTGGCCATCAAACTAAAGTGACAGGCAAACCATGGCATAGTGTTGCAGCCTTTCTCAGTATTACATTATACCTTCAGCTGGGCACTCAAAAGTAAATATTGTCCTTGATGGGGTGTTATTTTCCCTGTACGTTGTTGGTTAAATCCTGCGTGTTACCCACAGATAACACTTACAGCCACAATGAGCGGAGTGAAAACCACCCAGCAGGCCTTCCACCACAGACAGGGCCTGTAGCCAACCATTTCCTCAATGTTGTCATAGAATTTGTTCGCACCTGGAACCAAACATAAAGCCAAGTGAGCATCGTTTCTCTATATTGTTGTGTAAATATAGATACAGTCCACAATTCATTATGTTTCAGGCCAGAAATGTTAAGATGACAAAATACCCTTGAGATTAATGAGACATAAGCGTGGCTCACCATAGAACCATGAAATTGAGATGCACTCAAAGAAGACCAGGAATAGCAGGCACATTCCACTAGCTGAGTAGTAGTCAAATAGCTTGAACACGTAGAGTCCACCCTGTAGGGAGAAAGACGAGGAAAACAAGAGGAGGCAATGAGACAGATGAAGGAGAAGGGATAAAAACATAAAAGACGCAATTATAGTGTTGGACGTACAGGACAGTACTAAACTGGTCAAGTGGAATAACATTGAGGGCGAGAGCACCAGCGGCTGTGGCTGGTGCGTGTTAGTGACGTCTCATTGGTGAGGACAGAATTGGTGCTGAGGCCTCCTTGTGGAAACTGCATCGCTGCGATAGTGCGGTGCAGACAGGACCAATGTAGATCAAACGTCTCCTTGAAAGCACTGTGTGTCTGTCCGCAATCTGACAAATACGGGGATCCAGCTCAAAGAGACCTGCTGCAGTTTGTCCACTCGTACTCTGTGAACCTTGATATACTTTCATACAGCCCGCAGCAGCGATTAGGGTAACTGCCTCACTCTAACAGGGCTGTGCATGTGGCATGATGGGAATCCAGTGTGGCAGAAGTAGAGGGACAATTCAGAGTCTTCAAGTGTCATAGGCAGACATGACCTTGGCCTGCAGTGATTTCTTCATTTTAAGCTCCCAAGTAGATCAGAAGTCAGAAGCTACTTTTTGCTGACTTTTGGTTTCTTCATGTTTTTTTTTTTAATTTTTTTATTCTTACTTTTGTTTTGGATTGCCATAAAACTGCTGCTGTACATTGGTTAGCAGTTGCTATAATTTCATAAAGCAGTTGTTTAAAAAAAAAAAAAAATGACAAAAGTATTTAAACGTCTCTTTTGTCATGTTGGGCTATAGCCTGAAAGAGAGAAAAGTGTTTATACCAACCTTGTAAGACATTGTTCAGCTAGCATGTTATCTCATGTCAGGGCAGAGCTTGGACAAAAAGTTAGTAATTCTTATATAAAGAACATTCATTAGTTCACATTTTTGTTGCTCATAGTTCAGTATTGTAGATGAATATAATAATAAGTGTATGTTTGTCTGTAACAGCAGATCAACATGATTATTGAAAGATTCAAATTAATATTTTAATCTAAAATCATCAAATAAGATTATGTTGTTAATGGCGTCATCATAGTAAAATTGTCATTAGGTACAATGACAGATGGTTCTATCAGAGACACTAATATCTTTAATTACAATCATAATTGCTTTAAAACTGACTGTAGATTGGAATAGGAATAAAATGTTATAATTTGCCTCCACCCTTAGGAAATTTGGACTTGGAGACGATTTTCATTTCTATCTTGGCTTTGAGTAATGAAAAAATAAGACTAAAAAGTCTTGGTAAGAGAAAAAGACATAATGACGATTTTGGTATGGTGTGGAGTGAGTCCACAAATATGAATCTTGTCCTGAGGGCGGCGCTAAAGGAAATGCAGTGGGGTCATTAAAAAGTTTTTTATTCTCTTGGAAACATGAATGTGCTCCGCAAATTATATGGTAATCTGAGATATTTTGTCAGAAAGGGTGACATTTTGACCAGATTGTGACCCAAGAGGAATTCTTAGGGAGCGCACAAAAGATAGAGGTTCATTCTCTGAGGGGTATGGATGTGTTCAGTAAATTTCATGGCAATCTGGCCCTCACATTGTTGTGAACTTTTTGTGTCTGGATGATGGTGCTAACAGAAGTTTTAGGTGGTCACCAACAGCATTCAGGTTCATCCTCTGTGGACCATGTACATGTAAAGGAAATTGTATGGAAATACAGCCATCAGAGATACCATGTCATGGATGTCAAAGTGTTGGTCAAGGATACGTTTTGGCCTGATGGTGGCACTAGACAATAGCTCAGGTGGTCATCAGAATCATTAATAGTAAGGGCACCACTAATAAAAGAAACTATACTTCATGGCAGTCTGGCCTGTAGGTCAGAGACATCTTGCTCTGAACCAAAGTGAACAGCTCGACAGACAAACCGTTCTTTGTCCCGGCAGCCAACGGGAAAATATGTGAAATGGAATCATGGCTGAAAATCCGTTTGATGCTGTTGTATGTCTGCAGTCTGAAACATGATGCTAGATGACCTGTACCACTTTCAGAGGGAGTCTGACCCCTCGACCTTTCAACTCAGACACTCTTTGGATTGCACATAACCACCACTTTGTGAGCTGAGTTAATGAACCAACTGAGTTAATGGTCTTGCATGTTAGTATCCAAAGTCAGCCTTGTGAAATATGAAATAACAAATGCCTCGTAATACATGCAAAATAGATGTTTTCTAGACTTATGAGGACTTATGCAGTGTTTGTACTAGATCCTGCCAATATTATAAAAGCATGACAAAGCCCCAAAGAGATAGTCGTGTGGTTCTTGATAAACTTACGAAATGTAGACACACTATTCTGTATATGGCAATATATATCAATCTTATCAGTCAGTCAGAGGGTGTTGTGAGGGTTCTTGAACCAACTACTCAGTGATGTGTCCGATACTCAGCAGATTATCCAGTAAGAAAAGAGTATTTTTACCTGTGTGATGTTGGACAGTCCAATAATGTAAGAAACAAGGCAGACGCATGCAATGAAGATCTCTCTGCGGTTTCGGAGAACCTGAGGGAATTCATCAACCAGTGCAGTGATGAAGCCTTCCACCGTGCAGAACTGAAGAGATTGCAGAGTCAGGTTGAAACTGTGTTATGTAATACACTTGTCACAATATAAACATTAGGTCAGTCGCTAAGGTTTAGAACTCGCATGAAAAGAGTAATAGTAAGACAAAATTAAACAATACTTATAGTGATGTGTTTATATGGTAATGACAGCCTCAAACATGACATTTACTTGTCAGAGTATTTCCTTGGCAGAGGCTGGTACATGATCATTTTTGATATATTTGTGGTCCAAAATCCACAACTGAGACCATTTTGTTTCTGTTCATTATTTTTACCTGGCTGTCGATTCCCAGCATCAACAGCATGGAGAAAAAGAGGATGGCCCAGAGAGGAGAGACGGGCAGCTGAGTGACAGCCTCAGGATAAGCCAAAAACGCCAGGCCAGGTCCTGATAAAGGACAAATATGACAGACATTGTGACTAGTTTTTAAAATGGGTTATTAATAAATGATGAGTTGTATAAGAATTGATTTTTTTTTTTAAAGGCAAAAAATGAAAGTTTCAGTTCATGTAAAAATGTGTTGTATATGATTTTTAACATACCAAGGTATAATTAAAGTGAAATAATTGCAGTTCTGGATAACACGAGAAGAAACTATGTCCTTGGGAGAAAAGTGCTGAAACTTAAACTTGAGCATTTACAAAGGATAGAGAGTATCGCAAAATCACTTAGCAATTTTTCATTTCTAATAAGCCCAGAAACCAGAACTGACAAATAGTGACAAGATAAAACCTTTCCTTTCTGACTGACAAACAACACATCTAGCAAAATCAAGGGCTAATTTCTGGACAATTGCAAATAGCTCTTGCCTGTGCCTATTGTCACTATCGAGTTTCAGCATTGATTGCAATTACCTGAGGCTGCCACATCAGCGATGGGTCTCTTTGTTACATTGGCCATGAATCCCACGATGGAGAAGATGACAAAGCCAGCGAACATGCTGGTGAAGGAGTTGATGCAGCAGACAATGACAGAATCTCTGTAGGGGAGAGACAAAGCACAAGGCAGCCATTGTCACGCCTATATCAATTCCTTATCAACCAGTCACACATTGTCGAGAGGCGTGGGGGGAAGGGACGGCAAAAAGCCATTTTGCATCCTGCAGCAGCACAGCAGCTGAATACATTTATATTGACCTGTTCTTTTAAAATGGCAGTGAGATCCGGCAGTTTCAAAATAGTTGGAGCCATAAATGTATGTACAATAGTTGGGCTGCTGACCAGGTACAGTTACACATTACAGTGTGACACTGATTGAGCCAAACCCAAGTATGTGCCTATGAGTGTAAAACAGGGTTAGAGCCAAAATAAAGAAACAAGCTGATCAAGCTGGAGGCTCAAATAGTCCCAAAATAGATGTTAGAGCAGACACTATGTTGCCAGGAAACCAAAAATAATCCCAGGAAGAGACGTCTGCACAGTCACCTTGTGTCTGGACTGATTTTTAAGAAACAGTAAAAATGTCCTCTTAAACAAGATATTTAATTCAAGTGGTAAATGAACCTGAAGTGCACCACACTGTGTATCACCTACCTGTAGACGTTGTTGTTGAAGGTATTGTAGCTGCCGAGAGCAATCAGAGAGCCCAATCCCAGCCCGTAGGAAAAGAAGATCTGAGTGGCAGCGTCCAGCCACACCTGGCACACAGAGATTAGAAAAGACGGTAAAAGAACGAGGCGGTGCAGACACAAGCTCGAGTAACGTCGATGCTGAATAGGTACTTGTAAAAATAATTTTATCTTACTGGTGATATGAGCTCATTTTAAGTCTATTTGTCTGGTTAGACTGATCAAGCCATGTGCATATGTCTCTTACAGATCTTTGATGAGATAGCACAAACTGGGGATTGTTACAGGAAGTTGTAACACCTCAGTTCTGTCTTGTTTCACTTAGTCCTGATCCACTCTGATCCCAGTACATGATCCCATCTTGATCTGGCCTCATCTCATGTACTACTTGAACTGGCACGATGTCGCTAAGTCATGTATTTACAGAAAAAAAACAGCATCATCTAGGAATCATTCATATGAATAGGGTTTCCTTTATCTGGACATAGAAGCATCATCCTAAATACACTTCAGCCTATCAACAGCTATTTGAGACACAGTAAATGTTACAATTTTCTTCCATCAGATATAAAACAAAAATACAAATGTACATATCCGTCAGAGAGATTCAACTCTTTATAAGCTTGTTGCTGGAAAATACACTAATGTTTTTTATGACATCCTCTCTAGTATTTGCTGGCTATGCAGTTAACAGTGATTGTTACAAACATTATCTGTCAGTGCAAATTGTGCACTTATTCAGCATGTGTTTGTATAAGTCAATGCTCATCTGCTCACAGTGATTAAATACAGTATCAGATGCAGATAGGAGACCTCTACAATGGTAATACTGTGGCCTGTAAACAGTCGGTGCAACTTTACCCAAAACATTAATTCAACTGGGCCTCATATTAATCTCTGTAGCCACCTTTATTCTGGTGGTTACTAAAGAGCTTTATGTATTCCTGAACAAAAACAGCTGGGCCTGCAGAAAGAGAGGGCAGATGAAGGAGAGATCATACCTCAGACTCCTTGAGTTTGTCAAAGTTCGGCGTGATGTAGAAGAGGATCCCATCAATTGCACCCGGTAGACTGATGCCACGACAAAACAGGATGAACAGCATGAAGTAAGGGTATGTGGCTGAGAAGTACACCACCTGTAGGGCACACAGTGATAAAGCCATAAGTTTTAAAGCCACACAGCTCTCAAGCAGTATTGTACTTAAAATATTTGTCATGCAAGGCGACAAAACTGTTAAAGGAAGGGAAAAAAGTGAAGTTGTTTAACTCAACACTGAGCAGTGTTACTGTGGCACCATCCCCACAGCACAGCACAGTGACCTAGTCAGCCACTCCCCTGAGGCACGATGACCCCAGAACGGTTGGGTTCAGCACGCTCCCAGCGCACTATTTCCCTCTTTATATGAACTAATTTCCCACTGTGCCATCAACATCAACACATTTCAGATCATTCATGATGAAATCTACAGAATAGGAAGTGAACTAGCAGAGAGTCGGTCATTGACACTGCAATGAAAATCTGGAAATCATTCCTGTTTTCAACATATAAAAAAAATAGAGTAACAAAGTGAATAAAAGCAAAGCAAACGTTGTAATTTATTATTGTGTAGCTCACTGGGCAGAGCGTGGCACTACAGCAGCCAAATTTTCCTTTGTCTTCCATTGTGGAAAATGTAGGTGCTTAAGTAGGATTAAAGGGAAATTGCATGTAAAATATTGTAGAGTTGATAGTGTACTGCATGTCCCTGTATTGTTTATCTCGTGAAGTTGTAATATAGGCACTGTAGTTGTTACTATGATTTTCAAATATTTTATGACGGTAAATCTTATTAAACCTATATCTTGAACTTAAATTTAAGATAATCCTACACTAATAGGAAACTAAAACAAACTAAAAATGGATAAATAAAGATTTAAGTGAAGTTATGCAATAACAAATCCCTTTATTTAAACAATAATCCAGCATGTCATTGTGCCAGTTCTATGACCTTGAGCAGTGACTCTGAAGTCTTGTTGAAGGATCCTACAAGTGAAATGATGCAAATTCAAATCGCAGCGGATGTAGTTTTTCCATTTTGTTTTGTTTCTGTCTTTGTCCTCCCCTTTTACTTACTTTGCCAGTCCAGCTGACTCCCTTCCAGATACAGAAATAGACGAGCACCCATGCAATAGCGAGTGTGATAGCCAGTGGGACCCTGATCTCCCCGGGCTTCTCCAGACCATCGGTCAGCTGGTGCATGTTACGTCTGCAGGGAAGGAGTAAAGTGGTCTTACTTAAACGCACAAATGCAGCCTTGATCTCATACATGCAGCACGCATGGGTGCATGCACAAATATGCATACACGTGTCTGGATATTCACAAAGAGCCATTCCATGCCTTTCTTTTCTCACCCCTAAAGCTTTTTTAAGGCACCGCAGTTAGGGGAAGTCACGCTTGCATGCACGCATGTCTACACGCGATTTTTTATTCAGTCATCAAATTTTTTTTTTTCTTATAGGCTTGTTTGAGGCCATTTATTGTATGTGCACATTTTCCTGTACTAGTGATAACCTGGCGTAGATAGATATTAAAGGAAGGTCAGAGTCTATTTGCAAATGGCTGTATCAGCCTCTGACCCCTGATCTGACCCTTCATCATACACAGCAGGGGAGGTGACCTGTCTGTGTAGCTAAACTCTGTTCACACCAGAGCAAAAAGACTCTTATGTCCAGCTTACTCCCAGAACTCCACCACAGCGCTGGTGAGGTTTCTGGTGTCTGCGATGCTGTAGTTGGTGTAGCAGCGCTCTGTGTTCCAGGGATTGCCACAAGTCTGCCATGGCAGATCCTGAAAATTAAGGGGGGGTGGGGGGGTGGAAGAAGAAGAAGAAGAAAAAATCACACAGACAGCTCTTTTTACTTGGACCACTCTCCCACCGCCAGGTCCCATTCTCTCTGGCTGTCGCGCAGCCAAGACCATGATACTCATTCGGGACATTGTGATTTCATGCTTTTCTCAGAGGAGTGAATGCCTCATCGCCAAATGCATTTATCAATACCTTGTGTAAGGCGCTAATTATGTGGGAAAGGAAGTAATAAATGTCATACTCTGTTAAGGGCTGTGTCCTGTTATATAAGAGGTGTTGGCAAATACAACCTGCCACATAACTAAAAGGTTTACTATGCAAAAATACAACCTGGGAAAAGAGAAAGAAAAACCTGTGCTTTGTTCTAATTTAAAGGGCCTCTTGTGTGGAAAAAGGACTTAGGGATTCTCCCTCCTAAATTTTGAAAAGGTATTCAAGTCCTATTACACTCAGGGCATGTTGATTGTTTTTATGAGGAAACAGCATGGATCTAAACATCAAATACTCACAGCAGTGAAGGAATTATACAGGTAGTAAATAGCCCAGGAAATGATTACAATGTAATAGATATTGAGCCAGAAGGAGAGAACAGCAGCAGCCAGACCCACACCTGAAACAATGGGAGAGTACAGGCATGATGTTAAATTCTTTTGAAATTTGTCTTTAGATAAAACAAGAATAATTACATCTGTAAGATTTGTTTTTTTTTATAGTTGTTGTTAATGGGAGATAAACTAGATTTTTCTCTTAATTACATAACTATCTCAAATCCAAGAAATATATCATTTTCCTGTTTGTTATTGAGTCTGGCCTTCATGAAGCAGCCAATTAACACAACAATTAACAGGATAACGCAAAAGTGTCTTTTTTTTACCTTTGAACATGGGGGCCAGTTTCCACACTCCAAGCCCTCCAATAGAAGTGTACTGACCAAGAGCCGTCTCCAGAAAGAACAGGGGCATGCCAGCAAATATGAGGGTCAAAAAGTAGGGAATCAAGAAGGCCCCTGAATGAGAGGTGACATGTAAAGGTGTATAAGTGAAGGTAAATCATAAACTATTAACATTCAACATAATCCAGTTGAGATATTTGATCAAAAAAAGGAGTATCTGGTTTCACACTGCGCCCAGATCGTCGCGCAGGCTCTCGCTTGTGCGCAATTACGCATGGCTACGATGTGGGGGCAAATACACTAAAGATTTATTTCAATTAAAAACCTCCGGGAGCAAACTGGCAGGTTTTGATGTCGGGATCTTTGCACTCCTATTGGTGTGTGGATATATGGAAAATTGCCAAGAATTCCTGATTACCTCCTCCGTTTTTTCCACATAAATAAGGAAATCTCCAGACATTCCCGAGTCCGATTGCGTATCCGACACAAGACAGAAGAAAGTCAAATTTGCCACCCCACGTTTCCCTCTCGGGTATCTCCTTTTTCTTCTGCACTTTCACCACCAAGGTTTTGGGTTTGTCGTTTGGCGTGGTGCTAGGCGCGTCATTCACCGTCTCCGTTAAGACGTGTCCGTCCGAGGCTTTGGTCCCGTTGGTGGCCATGGTCACTGCGCGTGTCGAATAGTCCTGACCAGTGTAGAGGAGGGAGTTTCAGCACCGGTCCAGACAGACAGACAGGCAGACAGACAGACAGCAGCTTCTCCGTCCTGTGCGCCCAGCTCCCAGACAGCAGCCGAGTGGAGACGAATAATCGAGGCAGTGAGAGTGATTAGTGGCAGAAACCGAGGCACCTTAGCAGCGGTCCAGCCACCCTGGAAATAGAAATAAACACATATAGAGTTAAAAATTCACATAAAGATAAAATCAGAAGACCTCTATTAGATGAGATAATTTTACTTGAAAAAAAAAATCTGTTTCTGAATTTCAGTTAATTGAAAGTGGAATTACTTTTCCCTCATGAACAGAATAATCATTTGCTTTCTGGAAGTTAAAAAAAAAACAAAACCCAAACATCCATTTTAAGATTAAAGATATGACCAAATTGCTCATTTAAGTCGACATTGTATTGGTCTGTGCTGAAAAAAAAAACCTTTTATTTTGGCAGTGTTTTGAATAATATTGATAAAAATGTAATTTTACAGAATTATTATGAATGCATCCATTTTAATTGTGTGACATTTCTTCAGGGGTGGAGAGAGAGAAAGAGGGAAAAAAAACAATCCGCCCCACGATCCGTGAACCCCACGGGATCAAATAAAGACTTCTCATGCAATAAGAATCACTTTGAAAAGCCTGGAGTGAATGCATGTTAGCAGAAATTTAAAGCCTGCTCTTGTCCTTGATTCATTACGCTCTAAATTCAATAGCCCACTTCCCACTGCTCGGGTACAAGAGGAGAGCAATTAAACACATTTAGGAGTCAGACGCGACGATCATGTCTAATGAATCACCTGGAGAGGCCAATAACTCACTGGCGTTCACAGCCTGAACTGACGCTTTCGTCTAATATCTACAGGACAGAGTCAAAATATTTAATTTTTTATTTCACTTTCCAATCAATTACTATTAATTGGAAAGCAATTTAGAAGCACGATTTTTTTAATGACACCGTTTTACCAAGGCCCTGCGTTTTTTTAAAAAAAGTACGTTATTTATTTCAATTTATTTTAACTTTTAAAAAAAATGCAAAATAAACATCAGCTCAAATGTGACGAGCGGATGAGGCATGGAGCGCGCGCACTCTCAGCACTGTCCATCACCTCGCGTGCGTAATTGTGAGGAGAAATATGAGGCAACATGGTTACGTTCAGAGTTTTGTAGTGAATCTTTTTATATATATATATATATATATATTCCCATGAGATTTTTCTCTTCTTTAATTTGTTGTGAATATTCCAGGTTCATTTGACTTCAAAGAGACACAACCTCAAGACAAACTGACATTCAGTGAACAGAGAATTATGGGGATCTTCTTCATACACACACACTCACGCACATACACACACACACAGACATAGATCATACATTTACATTTGGCACATTTAAAACATGTCGTGAAGGATCAAATACGCCAATGACCCTTTATTAGATAAGTCTGCGTCGCCATCAAGTGAAGTGCAGACGCACATACGCGCTCACTGCCAGATTCCGCGCATCTGCACGGTCTCTGCCAAATTCCTCCGCGGTCCTCACTTGTAATAAGTATGTCGACAAACACAAATCCATCTGTAGTTTATATGAAATGCATAATGTGTAACAGAATACTTACAATAAAATCCCTTTCCTTGCCAGATTGTTTCCCCGATGGGAAAATCCAAAATTTAGAAGGAAAAAAAAAGTTACTTCCTGGCACTTTTACAGAATAAAACCAGTGTGAAAACTTTGCATCCGACGACAGCGAGCAAATAGTATATGATCCTGAGGGGGGGTGAGGATGGCGGACAAATGCGTCTTTGAGAGCGAGGTGCTGTCCTTAAAGGAGTGGTGCTGAAAGAGAGGAGGGGAGAGAAGACGGGGAAAGGAGCTGCCGCCGTCTGAGCTGAAGCGAGCAGGGACGTAACATGGAGCGCAGGATCCTCACTCTCATCTACACAGCGTCAATGTCACCTCAAAGTCGACCCTCCCCAACTGCAACATTTCCACCACTGAGATGGCAGCGGGTTTGAGAGAGGAGCATCCTCTTGTCTCAAGGTTTTATATCCTTACTCCTGCAGATTTTTTTTTTTTTTTTTTTTTTTTTTTTTTTTTTTTTTTAAGACATTCAGACCAACTTCTCTTCTCATCACTTCTCGTCTCTCTCTCTCTCTCTCTCTCTCTCTCTCAGAGAGAGTCTGTCTATCTCCCTCTCCCCCTTTCTGACTCACTCAAGGACCAGTTGATGCATAATAAAGATTTCTATGATGTTATTTGCCTTTGATGTAAGTTATTTCTAAGGATGACTAGATTCCATCAAGTTGCCATAAATAGAACTTATGCACACTTTACCGACACTTGTTCACTACATTCATTTTCTAAACTTCCCTCCATCCCAAAATTTGGGTAACTAAAGGGAAACATCTCATAAAATAAAAAGAAGAAGAAAAAAAAAGACCACATAAGTAATGTTACATCAAATCCAGCCACTCCAAAGTAGCAGATACAGTGGGAGATGCCAATGGCTGCTCCAGCTCCTGGCAAAACATGATAAGAGGGTCCCAGCCAATAAAGGGAGTCAGGGTGTGTGAGATAAATTGAAAACTGTGCTTATAATCTTCTTAGCCCGCTGTCTTCCAAAATGAAATACCCTTGTGGAACATCCCAAATGAGCAGTCTTAACGCAGACTTTAACTCCCACATCGAGATGAATTATTAGGGTCTCAGTGGGAGATTAGACTCTCGCAAGGTTTAACAGATAAAGTTTGAGTCGTGACAATGAGTAAGGATTAAACCAATGTTAATGTTAAAAAAAAATCTTCATGTGCCTTTGGGAATGACAGACGTCTGACTGATGAAAACTGTGATGGTATATTTAATCTTTCCTGTATTTGAAGTCTTTTGCGCTGTCATAAGGCCGTCAGGTGACATCTTGTAGTGACTTTTGATATTTTGGTGCCAGTGATTAAGTGTAACCCCTCTACCATTTCCATATTCTCTTATACATTTGTTTCAGTTCTTCTCTTTTTTTTCCCCACACCTTCCCTATATCGCTCATGCCTCACTTCCTTTGCCCCCCCATCCCCTCCTCTCCCAACCCCATGATCATCTTCCCAAATCTTTCCCTTCCATCTTTTTGTCTCCGCCCGCCTTGCTGTAGGCGGTGCAGTGCTGATGCAGTACAACTGAAAAGCCACGCCACTGCGAGCGAGGGAAAGAATGCCCAGATGGTGAATCAATGAGGGGTGAGCTAACCTTCTAATGATACAAAACAAAATTTAGCATTTCTAATCCCAACTGGCTGATTGGCCCGCAGGCTGTGGCACCTCTGATGTGCAAAAAGCCTCCTGTTGGCCTGCAGCTCTCACACGGGGTGGGGTGGGGGGGGATTCAAAATGCCACACTGATGAGAGCTGGTGGTGCTGTGCTTGTGGCCCTGGCCCCACCTGATGGTGAGCCTGTGTGCAGTGGAGCTTGTAATTACAGAAGGAGGTGGTGGTAATAGAGAGTAGAGTACAGGCAAACACACAGGCAGACAGCTGTCCCCCTGTCAGTTCCACCGCTCAGACATAGGGGACAAAAATGATGCTCCGAAACTGTAGAGCAGATTATCGCTCATGTGAGAAAGACAAAATGGTGATGCAGATGATGATGGTGACAGTGATAATGATGACGGATGCGTTTTATAACGTAGGCGTATTTACAGAGCCTTTTAGAAATACTGTATGTCGCCTCTCCCTTTCAGTGTTTCTGTGAGGCTCTGCGTACATAGCGAGACTCTTAATGTGCAACATGAATCTTTGTAATATAAATATGAATAACGCCATCCCACATGTACCCCTTAGAAAACTATAACTGTAACAGGATGTATTTAAATCTATGTAAAATAACCATTGTATATTGATAAACTGAAACGTCTGCATGTGGATTAACACACTGAGTCTACAGCCGTGCTCGTGTCTCTGTGGGGCCACAGTGATGCTGAATGCCTTGAACAAATTTCATGACTTTCCATCAAATGGTTGTTGAGCTATTTCAGCCTGGACCAGTGGACCAACCAGACAGTGTGGCTAATAATTCAAACATACCTGGTTTTAGGTTGATGTGTTGTTTCGGTGATTAAGAACATTGGAGCTGAGGATGTCTCACGCTGAAGATGCTTATTGAAGCTTGATCGAGGAGAAAGGAGGAATCATCCGTACAGACTTCTGCGCATGATGTCACCTCAATTCTGAAGAAGGAACCCCTGTGGCTAGTATTTATGCACTTTGAAAGATTACTATAGATAGCTTACGCCCCATATTCGGTGAAGGGGGATGTGTGAACATTCTATTGGTCCCTTAACCATAAACAAGGAAACATGATTTACACACGCCCAGGTGCTGATCTCAGAACACCAAGCCACTTGTTACTGACCATCCAAGGTCCTCTGTTATCAATCGTGGCTCCAGCAATATCAGCAGAAAACCACAGCTGTGTCTGGAGGAGCCGCCTGAGCGTCTCCTAAACCTGTAAGATTTAATGCAGTAGCTGTGGCACTGTGACCTATAGGGCTTCACACTGACTTCACCCTGAGCCAGTCACTCACAGTGGACATACAGAAAATTCCCTCACACCTGTAGCATTGCACAAACACACAAAATTAAGTGAAAACATACATTTGAAAAAAGGAATCCAGGCTGTTTTTACCTTTTGAGACAGCAATCACTTTACTGCTTCAGCGCTGACCTTTTGCACCCATAGGACACTCCAAACAGGGTCAAAACCTGGCAAAACTGCTTCTGTCTCGTCATCACCATGACCGCATAACATTACAGTCTTATGGTATTACCGCACTCGAAGACCATGTTGTCTCTGAACCTGTGAGACATGCATGAATCGCCTGCAGTCACTTTCCAAGTCAATTGCAAAGCTTGCCAATCAATGCAAAGTCTACTTTAGCACTCCAAATATACGGAAAGAACTAACTTTTTTTTTTTTTTTTTTTGTACATTGTTGTATGTTGGCTTAGCACTTCAGAGCTTATGGAAATCAATGTGTGTGTTGGTGCATGTGAAATAGAGATAAAGACTGAGAAACAGAATGACAGACCGACAAACAGACAGAGGGAGCAAGAGCCCTATATACTGTAGCGTTTCCATGTCTCTTAAACCTAAGAGGCTTCTCTTCTTCTCGGGTGGTGCAGAGAGGGAGGGACTGTTGTCAGGACCAGTTATGTGTAACACTGCAGACCCATAGAATGTGTCTGGCTCTTCATTGGTAAGTCAGTCAGGTAGGACGCTGCTAGGCCTCTCCAGAAGAGCCTCGGCGCGACGTTTCCGCTCGCAGTGAAAAGATGGAGACAAAGTGATGTGTCTGTTGCCGGGTGATTCACAAAAAGAACCCAGGGTGCATTTCTAAAAAAAAAAAAAAAAAAAAAAAAAAAAAAAAATGGGGGAGGGTGGAAACACAGCAGCAAAGTAAAACAAATACTGGCCTCCTTCCCTGCCTCCCTCACTCTTCTCACAGTCAGGGAGAAATGTAGAAGTCGATGAGAGAGAGTATAGAGGGAAAGTGAAGCCAACTCTTCCTGCCAAGCCGGCTTTTACCATAACGCAGTATTATCTTTGAGATTAGCAGGCGACACAATACAAAACTTTATTTATTCCCTAGAATTTAAACATTTGTGGAATAATGCCAGAATTACAGGTGATTTTAAACCAAAAGGCAGTTGTAAATTGATATATCCCTTTCCGCTTTTTTCTGTTTTTCTCAGTCGTCAATTACAATTAAATAACTGTCATGGCCTAAAGATCAGAGACGTGTCAGGCCGGTAGAGATGTGCAGAGACATGTGATGAGTGATGTATTGTCTGTAAATGTGCTGTGACATTATTTTGACCCCTGTCATGATTTATTACAATATTAGCCACAGGGGTTACAAAAGGTTACCTAGGTGCAGCAGATGAATATGCAACATGCCATTCTCAATGTACGAGGTAAAAGGTCAGTTAGGAAAGAAACACTTATTTTCCATGACTGATGACAGCCATAGCTACCCTCTGTCTTATTAAATTAACTGTATCATCGTAAGAATATGGGAGTAATTATTAATTGAACCACCTGTGGCAGGGAAATCTTTCTTTAAACCTGCAGCACCAAACCTGCAGTTCTGAGCAGGCACATTGCTTCTTTAATGCTATGCACGCTGTGCAAGAGAAAAACTAATACATGGGAAAGTGTGCCTAAAATTTTGCTGAGAAAATAATGTTGCCTTTTCCCTCCACATCCTACTCAAGCGGGGTTTGGGGCTGCTCAGGTGGGCTTTCAACATTTTTTTTATCCAAACTGTAGAGGAATAAAATCAAATCTATGTGGCTGCACTTAGACACAGCAGTGCTTTGAACTAAATGCTAATGTCACCATGATAACATGCTGACAATGACAAAGCTGATGTGATGCAGGTATAATATTTATCATGTGTACAGTCTTTCTTAAACATATCTGCATGCTTACATTTGCTATCAGTGATAAGTGAAAGACAGATCTAACGCTGAAGAGAATGTCATGAGATTTGCAGATATTTGGTCATAAACCAAATTATTGGACACATTAAAAAAATCTGATCTGATAAGGGCAATGCATTGTAGGTTTTTGCAAGTCATTCTGATGGGTCATGAGTGTCACCAGATTTCACAGCAATCCAGCAGCAGGCCTATCATGATAACAATAATAAACATGTGGTTAAGACTTGTGGAATGGTAACAGTCTGGTTAGGTTTACGCACAAAAACTACTTGGTTAGGTTTGGGAAAAGATTGGAACAAACACAGGAAAAATCTTATGTTTTGTCGGCCCGAACAACCTCCAACATGGATTTTGTCGCTGTATATATTACACCACCTGACTTCCCGCTTTGCTTCAGACGTAATTACTACAGCTGCTAGAGTTGCCTAACATCATGACCTATGGCCTTGTTTTGTTCAGTAGAACAGTCTCTAAAAGTCATTAGAATTAATCATAGA